AAACAAAAAAATGAATTTCAAGTCTTAAAACTAGTACATCTTGTAATACATTATGTAGACCATCCATTTTCAAGATTTTCAAGCACTCATATATGTGCTAGATTTGCACAATTTTAAGAGCTTTCAATTTTATTATAGGGGTGGAAAATAGACTCTTAGACTATGATAAGAGTTTGGCACCCAAAATTCATGTTTTAATGAGATTTTGAGGTGCACCTTACTGTGATTGTATAGGGTTGACACCTTATACAAGTCTCAACCTTATTTATTTTGGATGAGGTTTCTATAAGGCCTAGGCTTTATGAAAACAGAATAAACCTCACTTCAAATCCTCATCTAGAAAGCACTTTCGGCATCTGAAATCTTCACGATAGCTCTAAAATTAACTTCCAATACCAATAATGAAATTTGAAACTAAAAAATGGTACAAATCATGCATATATGTAAACACTTATTTTTAGAGCGAAATGGATGGTCTTAGATGATTTGTTGCAATTTACGTTATTCTAGAATTTGAAATCCTAACTTTTGTGCACAATCAAAATGTTCAAGTTGAGATGATTGATTTAAAAGTTTTTCAACACTTGTATTAGAATTTTTGATGCGTTAGGAGTGAGGTTTTACTTATTTTGATAAAGTTGCAGCCCTATCAAACCATTTTTTTTATTTTTCATCTTATTTATGCTTTTAATTAGAGCATATATACTATGCTCCTGCATAAGCCTTGTGTACATCTGCTCCCTCAATTAGAAAACCGACTTGGGAAACATTTACTCAAAACTTTTGCAAACCAACATTCTCTTTTATGGTTATTTTCAAAAGAAAAAAAAAATTGAATTTTGAATTTTAGACATTTAGATCTCACTATTAAAAATTTGGATGGCCTCTGTTCTATATTGGGACAATATTTTTCCACGGCCATTGGAAGTGCAATTTGAAAGTTTTTCTACTGATATTAATCTATAGGTCGAATAGGTTAAATCCTAAAAAATTGAGACCCTAAATTTTTGTCCTAGATTGGGTTTTACACAAGGGAATAAATGGCAAGCATATTTCCTTTAGAAGCATAAATATCTGGCTTCTATCATCTTTTTCCAAAGTTTCAATACTCGATAATGCTTTTTTACTTTGTCTTGTTTGAATTCAAGGGGAATCCACATTAAAGGAATGAAGCACCCCTCACATCCATCACATTCAACTTATTGCGAAACGATAAGAAAGGCATTAACCTTTATTAAGGTTGATGTAAAAGGCCGCCGCCACCGGAGCTAATACGAGATTCCCTTCGGATAGTTATCCCATAGTTGGGTCCGCCTTGATAAGACGGTTTTCTATTAATAGACCACCTGAAAAATTTAGTTCACTAAAAGAGGTTGTTTTAATGCCTAAATACCTTCAAATTTATTACCATTACATCAAGATGTATGAACAGGAAAAAAAAAATAGATTTTAAGTTTCGAAAATAGTATATTTTTTAATGTATTTTTGGACTGTCAATTTTCAAAATTTTCAAGTTTAAGCTTGATTTACATTATTTTTGAAGCTTTAGATTTTATAATTAAAGATGATAATATATTTTAAGACTATCATAGAGATTTCTAGTGTTGAAACCACATTTCTCGATACTATTCTAAGGTGCACTTTACTTTGATTGTTTAGAGTCTCGGCTCTGTACAAATCACACATTTTATATTTTGTATATGGAGGTCACAGTCATTTTGTCCATTAAATTTCTAAATGGGTGGTTGAATAGACACAAAGTTCCAAAAAAAAAATTCTCGAAACTTTGTGATTCATCCCAAGCCATCCAATTTAATATCTAATGACAGAGAATGATTGTGACCTTAATGTACAAGAGATAAATAATCTCTTTGTTGACAATCCCTTATATAATTCATTCATCTTAAACAATCAAAGTATGATGTGTCTTCACACTCTGCCCGAAGATGTAGTTTCGGCTAGAGTTGTTAATGGGTTGGGTTTGGTCGGGCATGAACTTGGTTCGAAATCATGTAAGGCGGGCTCAGCCCAGCCCAAGCCCCAAAAAAATTATATTTTGGGGCTGAAGTGAAATCTTACCTATGAGGCATGAACCCGACTGAACCAGAAATATCGGGTTGTGCTCAGCCTGTTATAAAATGCAGAAAATTTTTTAGTTTATACACTTACGGAAAATTTCAAGCCACGGCCCAGCCCAAACCAAACCAGACCCGAAGTAGCCCCGCCCAAATGATGTGGGCCGGCCCGACTTATTAACACCCCTAATTTTAGTATTAAAAACTTCACGTTGACTTCAATATTTCTTAATTATAAAATTTACAGCTCTATAAAAAGTGCACATCAAATAGATTCATAAACATTTGAAAATCTTAAAAATGGATAGTCCAGATAATGTGTTACAAAATACACTATTTTAAAGAATAAAAAATTATTATTATTTTATTCATATCGATACATCTCGAGGTTGAGATAATAAATAAGGGATTTTCTATCCTCCATCGACCTTTTCAGGTAGATTTTTTTTGGGGCATGAATTTCTTTTACGATATAAGAAATCTTTGTAAAATGTTGCCTTTAAGTATGAACTCTATTTGTGCCTCACAATTTGAACTCATGGGCATCACCTTAATACAATTACTTTTGTTTGCGTGGAGAGAGAGAGAGAGAGAGCTCATTGGTTCCACGAAGTACTTATGCTTTAGATTATTTATATTTATACACAAAATAGAAAATCCAAAACCGTCTTATAACTTATAGTTATAAGGGAAATAAGTAGAAAAAATACTCATCCAAAAAAAAAAAGAAAAAAGAAAAAAGAAAAAAAAAGGGTAAACTAATCTATGGCAGGGCTGCTTTTGTTGCTCGCCTCCATTGTTAATTCCCTTCTGGTATCCTGCAACACTATTGCACCAACTCTCCATGTTGAATAGGCTGGAATCTCACTCCTCTTTTCTGAAAAAAAAAAACAAGAAATAGAAAACAATTAGTTCCCTTATCAAGAACATGAAAAGAGATATTATTTCTCAAAACAAGATAAAGGCATGTACATGCTTTAAGGTTTCTTGAGTTTTGTCTTTCAAATAGTTAGATCAGTTTAGCTTGGCAACGAGTCCGGATCCAGAGCGACCCCACTCAGTTTTATGTACATCTGGACAGGACCTGAACCCGGGTCAGTATATCCCTTGGACATAGACCATACCCAGATCTAGGTCAGATCCAAGTCATTTGGGCCAGGTCGGGGTTGCCTCGATCCGGACCGACTCGATAGGGTCCATACCGGACCCGGACACCCACTGATTGGCAGGTTGACCCGACCCGATTGCCACCTCTATATCAGTTTTATTTTTCTTTTAATTTTCTTTATTGTCCTAATTTTTCTTTTGAATGTTCTTGACAAGATAAATTTCAAAATATAGAAAAGTATCTCCCTAATAAGGAATTCCTAGGAGATTCGTTACAATGGGACTCTGATCCAACTTTTAAAACCTGTGCTTATTCAAAGTCATAACCTAAGTAGGTTTGGGTTTAATTTTGACAGGACCAATATGAACTAGTCAATCTATGGAGTTTCACAAATCACTCAAAAATTTGTGATTTTCAATGTTGTAATCGGATCGGATTATAGTACAATTTGACCATGTTAATTGGACTCAGATCTAGGTCGGCTCCAAGTCATTTGTGTCAGTTTCGGAGTTGCCCCGACCTAAACCCAACTCAGTTTCGGGGTTGCAACCCCTAGATCAGTTTTCTATTTCTTTTTCTTTTTTTTTATTGGGCTTCTTACTTTTCTTTTGACCGTTCTTGACAAGAGAAATTTCAAAATATACAAAATTATCTCCTTAATAAGGAATTCCCAGAAGATTCATTGCTATGGGACTCTAATCCAACGTTTGAAACCGATGTGTATCCAAGGTCATAATCAAAGTGGGTTTGGGTTTAATTTTGACAAGAACAGTACGAACCAGTCAATCTGTGAAGCTTCACAAATCACTAAAAAATTGGTGATTTTCAATATTGTAATCAAACCGGATTATGGTACAATTTGACCAAAATACTAGTCCAACCCACCAGTCAAATAAGTCTTCAAAAATATCAACCCCACATTAAGATAGTGATAATGAAATCAAAGAGATCCAATAGCCATAGAATGTCAGATAATAAAACAGAAAACACGTCTGCATAATCCTTGATTTTCTGAATTTTAGTAATTGTAAAAACTAGGAAAATATTAAATAATACGCAGTACCAAAACCAAGAAAAATATGGATAAGAAGAAAAATAAAAGAGAGTATTTTTTAAAAACCTACGTTTTCATAATTTTAATGAATTTAAGTTTATACATTTACTTGAATTCTTTTTTTAAGGTTAATACTAAGTCTATATTTGATTTTAACCATAAACGAAATCAAGATGCCCTAAAACTCATATTGTGACGTTTTTTAAAGTTTCGAGGGAATTTTTAAAAGTTTTAGAGCTAATTGAAAAGTGGAAACACAGAGAGAATAATCTTTAAAAAAAAAAGGATAAAAAGAAAAGATAAAAAACACTAAGAAATAAAATAGGAGCTTATTCCTTAATAATCTTTAGAAAACTTATATGCCCCTATCTTTCTTTTTCATATCTAATTCATGACTCATTAATTTTTTTTTTTTATATCTAATATTTCAAATATTGTAGCTTATATTTTTCTTATTAAGCTCGATTACATTCGAGCACATACTTGTTGCTTCGAATAAGGTAGTTGTAAAAAAAGGGAGTCACCGGCTAAACTCGATTTTTTTTTCGTCACGATACATTCCAAGCCATACAATTTAATATTAAGAAGTTTGAATCATTAAAAAATTAAATGCATTAAATTTTTCAAAAAAGTTAAGTGATAAAGGGCGCATCTTTCAATTCGACAAAACCATATGAAAAGCACTCATCCAACAGCAATAAAAAAAACTATCTTGAAGATTACGTTTCCTTTTTCTTTTTCTTTTTTTCGAGTGATTTTATGTACGGAGACAAAAACTTTATAGAAATGCTATGCTCAGATGTGGAAATTACAAAGAGGGGGACAGGTTGGAGGCGGCCAAGTCGAAGGACTCTAATCTTGGACCGCCCGGGCACTGTTCTTAAAGCTTGGGGCACTATGCTACTAACAAAAAAAACCCAAAAATCCAAAAAAATAACAGGTAAAATGCTGTATGAAGATAACATCCTCAGGTCCAGAGGCAAATTTGAAAAATATAAAAAATGCTGGTTGACTGACCTTTCTTGTTATTTATATCTATGAACGAAGAATTTTTTAAGTAAATTTTTCTTACGTAAATCACTTTTTTTTTAATGTTGATTATGTGTCTAATCTTCAATTATTTTTGTTTAAAAAAATGTTTCAAAATTCTAAGCTCAAAGAGAGAGGAGTAAAATTCTAAGATGATTACTGATAGATAAGTTTAGAAGTAAAATACTAAAGAATCTGAACACCGACGAGAGAAGGTACGTACGTACGATGTGAAGCAGAAAGAAATGGAAAACCTTAGAGAGAAACATATGGTGTAGAGAGAGAGAAGGAATGGAAAAACTTAAGAGAGAGAAAGAGAGGTGGAAGTAGAAACAGCACCATGAGATCTGAACCTCACCTCTTTGGGCCTGCAATTCTCCTGAATACTCCCCAACCCGGGCCTCCACCCCTTCTCCAATTCCCCACTCCTCCACCCTCTCTCCACCAGCTCCCCACTCTTCCACTCTCTCTCCTCCCTCCCCTCTTTCTCCATACACAACTCCAATATCCTCTCGGCCGCCTCCGACCCGTCCGCGCTCTCTTCCATCAGCCTCACCACCTGCGCCTTCGGCAGCCTCATCCTCACCCTCATCCCTCCTCCCTCTCCGACCATAGGACTCAAATCCGACACCGTTCTCCGTGCCAAAAGAAGCCCATCGAGCCTCTCCTTCGCGCTGCCCGCAGCCACCGGGACAGCCGAGCGGACGCGTCGTGTCGGTCGGGTTGGGGGCAGCTCAGACTTTTGGACAAGGAAGTATACCCGGCGGGGCATGAGGAGGGAGTCGGGGCCGAGGGGCTGGGCGCGGATGCCGAGCTCGCGCACGAGAGCATAATCGATGAGGACGTGCCCCGGGTGGTCAGCCAGCACATCCTCAACACGGACCGGGGCCTTGAGCTTGAGGGTCTCACCGTCCACCCGCATGATTTTCGCGGTGCTCCGCCTGCCTATGCTGTTGCCCATCGCCGGAAAAGATCAGGAGATCACCAGAAAAACTAAACAACAGACACAAAAACAGAAGCTTTGCCGAAAATTTGGACAAGGGGCTCAACGAAAACTCATCAGAATGCGAAATATTGATGGATTAGATGAAAAAATTCTAGCTGAGAAGAAAACGAAGTGCGCGCAAGCTCAAGTGCTGGAAATATTGAGCTTCCAGTAGAGAGGGGTTGAGGTTGAGGCCTCTTTAAAAGGAGGGAATGTGCCTTATTTCGTAGGAGAACGGAGGAGAGTTCCGTTTGAGATTTAAGAGAGAGAAACGGTTTGGTTCGGGAGCCGTTTTGGATGGGGGCGTTGGACACTTTATGATAGGACGGAGGAGAGAGAAAGAGGTGATCGCATTTAGAGAGAGAAACAAAGAGTTTAGAGAGAGAGAGAGAGAGAGAGAGAGAGAGATTAGCTCGAAGCTGTTGCGCATGTGGTCAGAAGAGGAGTCAATAAAAGGGGGCTTAATTTGAAGGGAATATATTTTCACGGGGGTTGGCAAAAGGTTTTCTTTTTCTTGTATTATTATTGTGGAAATTATATCTTTCATTGCGAAAATATCATAAGTACCCTTGCTCTATTAAAAAAAATTCCAAAACCATCCCCGCTATTTTCATGTAAATATCAATTTTTTTTTTTTTAGGAAAATAAGGTTCATGCTACTGTGAAATTGTATTCATTAATGTCATGGAAAAATGAGGCGTGTAAAAAATTGTGCCCATTTCTCTCCCCATATAGTGATTTAAATTTTTTTAAAATCAAGAAACAGAAATCAAATCGCCGGGTATGATTCCAGATATGTGAATCATATTAGACAATTCAAGAATCGAGTCCACAATAAAAAAAAAAAATCAAAATGTTTTGATCCTATTAATGTGATTATGAGTCGGCTGAGTGATTTTTTAAACATTGTCTCTCTAAACGAGGCAATTTCATTTGTCTAAGTGTGGTGAATAGGCCTTTTTGGTGGACCATTTTCGGAATTTGCTAACTTTTAGTGGTTTTACTTTTTCCAACTTTGACCTTTTCTCGAACGTTTAGTGTCAAAGGAGACAGCTGCTTATTCAAACTTTTGAACTGGGTCTCACGTATCTGCGACCTCTAACGTAGGCGCCTTCCTCTCATACGCGCAGTCCAAAATGTCAAAGATCTTGTGCTCCCTAGGGTGGCATTTATTTCCCCTCACTCCCTTAGATAAAAATTCAATCTAGAATTAAATTTTAGGACAAAAAATCTGTATACGTAATCCCTTCAACCCAGACACCAAAAAAAAAGAAAAAGAAAATTAAATGTACTTGTACCTAGGAAAAAATTAAAAACATTTAATTTTTGGTGGGTCAAATTAAAGTTTTTGAGAACTCAAAATCCAATTTAAATTTTCAGAAAATAATAACAGAGGGACTCATTGGATTGGAAAACTTCATATTAAAAGGTTTCCTTAAGAAGCAATTTCACATAAGGGAGTAAACATACAATATGCTCCTGCAGGGCGATGCTGTGCACCCCAATCCAAAATCAGACCGACTATCCTTTCCCATCCAACTTGAAACGGGGAACATGACAAAATCTCCGTTGCAACCGTCCTTTTTATGACTTCATGGTATATTTTTCCATTTATTTTTCCATTTATGAGGAAAAATAATATTTGCCAACCTCCTAAAAAGAGTCATAGGTTTTACTCTCCTAGGCTTTACTATTGAAATAAGATGGACTTAAAAAATCCTCTAGAAGAGAGTGTGGAGAGCTCTCCAATTAATTATCTTGACCTCGAGATGTGTTGATATAAAAGATAAGAATATCAAGTCCTAAACTAGTATATCTTGAAACCAACTTTCTCGACCGTCTATTTTAAAAAAAAATTAGTGTTTGTACATTTGCTCGATTTGTACTACTTTTTTAATTTTAAATTTCATAACCAGGGATAAAATTAGATTTTGAACCCCACCCAATTTGATAAGTACTTAGATTTTGAACCTCATACCCCTTAACCTAATGGTTTGGAATTTGAAGCACTTGGATCATGATTTGTAGTCTCAAATCCATGCTAAGGACAAGCAAAAATGGCTTTTTCTCCCCTTTTAGACTAGGTAATCAAGTTATTCATAACTCAAGCCCGAAGACTCATACTCTGATGCATTGAATCTATTGCTCTTGAAACAGTACAAATAAAGTGGCTAATCGAATGAGTCATTTTTAACACTAGAAACCAACCAAAAATGAATTTCCTTGAAACCTAGTGAATAAGTCAACTAAGTGACAACACTAGGCATTGGCCCTTTGCGTGGGTATCACCCATTAGGTGATTGGCAACTTCAAAGAGGTTTATGTGATATTCCATGCTTCTAATGTAAAGTAACCATACATGGGATCCTGAATCATAAAATATGATGCTCATTCGGAAGGTACAATTGATGTGGTGCCCAAAATAAAAAAAAAAAAAATGTTGAAAGTATGTAATTTTGGTGTCCAAAAATTGAATGATGACCAAAAAATCTAGTTTACATCTAATTATGAAATTTAAAATTTAAAAAATTGGTGTAGTTCAAGCAGATCTACAAATACTTGAAAATCTTGAGAATGGGCGGTCTAGATAATGTATTTCAAGATGCACTATTTTTAAAACTTGATATTCTTTCTTTTTTCATATTCATGTATCTCCAGGTTCAGATAATTTATTTAAACTTTTTCAAGCCATCTTAGATAGCAAGGGATATATGATGGGTACTTTGTGTGATAGAAATGTAATTTGAACGAGGATAATCACACAGATCAGGGAATCTAAACATTTTTAGATCAATCAAACACCTTAATACAAACACTCGGGACCAGCTGACATCGGAGGTATTGTACATAATTCTGAAAGTATGGTGATCTTTGTTTCCTCAAGACCTTGTGGTTCTCTTACGGTTAATACTACAGAAATTTTGGCCCACCTGTATGGGCTTAAACTTTTGAGAGAGCAGTGTGCTGATTTTTGTTAGGTAAATATAATATATTTGTGAGATTGGCTTGGGGTCCTGACGGTCGTATTGTCAAGTCCTATGGTAAGGTCTCTGATTTCATTCTCACCAAACAGTAGGGCCCAAATCCCCACTTGCCACTTTTCGAGAATGGGGTAAGAGTTGTAGTGGTAGCATCTCATGTGCCACAACTACGGTCTAAGCTTCCATTCTCACGTAACATATTAAGAAAACACTAACGATTTCAAAAATAAATAAGAGCTCGACATCTCCAATGAATTACCAACAAAAAAATATATAATAAATTGGTGTAATAAAGTTGGTAAACCATCTTGGCATATGAGGGTTGTGTGGATGGAGGGAAGTGTTGGATATGTGCCGCTCTAATACGGAGGTGATCCAAAAATAAATAAATAGTAATTTGGCGAACTACAACCAAGAAAAATACAACTTGAAAATTTAACAACCATTTTCCAAATTTGGTCTTCAAACTGTGCCTTAGATTTTTTTTGCTGATTTCTCCAAAAGAGGGTACTTTTCAAGCATTTGAGAGAATATTGATGAGCCGAGGTTTCCCATCACCAATAATTTCTTCGATAGCGAAAAGGGCAATTTGAATATTATCCTTTTGACCTTGCAAATGATTACTGAGGACAATTCATTTCAAAGGGGAAATGTGAAAGGGTATCATGTGTGAAAGCTTAAATATGCTCTCTTATTATTAAATTATTATTTCATTTTATTTAGGTGTGGATTTTCTCAATCACAATGGTTACTTTTGTGATGATTATTGTAATTATTCTTAATACGGGTGGGAAAGGGTTGATTTTCTCAAACTTTTTCCTCCTAACAAACATAAAGAAAATGATATTTTAGTCATTTTCTTTATCGCCTTTCAAATGATTAATGTAGCTTTGATTATTTATTTGATAAATGTGAAAGGGTCCCATGTGTGAAAGCTCAAATATACCCTTCTTTTTGTTTTATTATTGTTTTCAACTTTCTTTGGTCGATGGTTTTATCAAGAACAATGGGGTGATATCGAGGTGGTTGATTTTTTTTAATAGAAAAGTTAAATCATACCATATAAACCTTTCAAACACTATGGATTGATGGATGGTTGAGATGAACAATGTCTACATCTAACATACTACTCGAATGCTGCATGTATCAGTATACACAATTCATTTTATGATGGACCCGGTTTCTATGTGGCCAAGCCCGCATATGTAGAACTATGACCCTATTAATAAATCTATTTTTAATATGAATTTTAATACTTAATTTTTAAAGAAATGTAATATCTAATATGGAGATCATGAATATGAAATTTGTTTTTTTATTTATAAAAAAACTAGAAATAGTAATTCTAGTAAGAAAATATTTGGACCGTTAGTTTCCATTGTTTTTAGATGTTAGTTTCCATTGTTTTTAGATGGAGCACCTAATTGCATTTATCTTTAAGATGGATGATTTACACTTTCTCGACCGCATATGTAGAAATGCGGACTAGCTTGCATGAAATAATTTTCCTTTTATGATTCCCAATTTTCCCTTAGGACCCGTTTGGATAAGAGGAAATTAGAAATATTAGATATTTGAAATCCAAGAAAATATATAGATTTTCAATATCTAGGATTTTTGTCATGGATTCGTTGCAATCACATCCATGCCCATTGTTTGGTAACAAAACTTGATACAATTTCTCTCTAAAACTCAAAATTTAGGATAGTGTATCTCTAAATTTTTCGAGATAGTTACTCTCTCTAAAATTTGATATGATATCTTTCTCTAAAATTTAATATAATTTCTATCCAAAATTTAAAATTTGAAATTGTCTATCTAAAAATTTTGAAATAATTTTGCTATCTAAAATTTTTAGATGCTTTACTCTCTCTAAAATTTAATATAGTGTATCTTTTTAAAATTTTAATATGCTCTCACTCTAAAATTTAAAACTTGATATAGTTCCCCTCTTCCCTAATTTTGAAATAGTTTCTCTCTCTAAACATTTTTAAGTGGTTTCTCTCTCTAAAGTATGATATTGTTTTTTTTCTCAAATTTTAATATACTTTCTCTTTCTAAAAGCTAAACTTTGAGATAGTTTCTCTTTAAAATTTTTACGATTGTTTCTTTTTCTAAAAAAATTATGTACTTTCTCCCTCCAAAATTTTATATAGTTACTCTTTTAAATTTTAAGATGCTTTCTCTCTAAAACTTCAAGTTTGAGATAGTTTATCTCTCTAAAATTTTGAAATAGTTTCTCTCTTTAAAATTTTATATAGTGTCTCTCTAAAATTTGATAGACTTTCTCTCTCTAAAATTTAAAATTTAAGATACTTTTTCTTTCTAAAATATAAATTTTGAGATGGTTTCTCTCTCTAATTTTTTTTGAGATAATTTCCCTTTCAAAAAATTTCATG